TCCTTTGATATTCAATAATCTTATAATCTAAGGAGAGGTTCGGCATTTTCGGGTTTTTGTTTGGACTTTAATATATAGGTAAATAATTCAGTAGTACTAGAAATGTACGGAAATTGCGCAATTCCTTTAAAAATATCTCTAACTAGGAATTTCACTATATGTGTCTCAAACAATGACTGGTCGTCTTTTACTTTCAAACGCAGATAATTCTGGACACACATGAATTTGAAGGCTCAAATTTCAACAGTAAGCTGTGAACACTATTATTAGCTTAGATAAAGAAATTTCAGTTTCTGAGACGTAAAGTACTATTGGTGAAAAGAGTGGTGAGCCTGAACTTGTAACACTGAGATCTATGTGATAGTTACTTGATAATCTAAGGATTTCTATCCATACCCCACTCATAATAAAACTTGTACAAAATGCTGAACAACCAGTTCTAAAAGAGGGCAAATGTCTTTTAGATATACAAGGAAACTGGGTCAACTCTTTGAAAAAGAAGTTAACAAAGTGAATATTTTAAATATTTCAAGAAGACTATCTGCCTTTGAAAGTTCATGCGTAGATATTCAGCGCTTCTGCCCTGCGGTGAATATGATCGTTGGACACACAAATGAAGCATTCCATACTTTTATATGCTTTGTGGCCTATTTGCCTCCTTGCTCAGTAAATAATAAATGAAATGAATAGACTTTTACGTCCTACTCTTGTGCACCATGTGGGTCCAGTAAATAATAGGCCTAGCAAGGTTTTGCCTTCAGTTACCTATTGATTAGACCTACAAAATCAGTGGACAAAGAAAAGCAACGTCTTACTTCATTGACACATGAATATGGGCATTAGAAATTAGAAATAAACAATAGAAAACATTTAAATATTAACTTTATTTTTCACTGAGAATTATTTTTGGAGACTTTTTTAAGCATTTTGTGAAATATATTTACATTATGTACACAGCTCTCTTTGATTGATTTCTAAAATCAAACTATATACATATTATTACAGTTAACAATTCTAAAATATTTCAATACACAAAAAAAACATTAAAACAGAAAAAAATGAACAACACAAAAAGGAATAATAAAAATACAATTTTGAAAGAACATTGGTATTTGGTAAATGAGTTTCTTACATCATGTAATTATGTTAATGAAGTTTTTAAGATATTTCGATAATTTTAACTTAACGAGTAGTTAATTAGATAGCTTATAGATTGTGGCATTTTGTAATTAAAGTGATGAGGTGTGATCCACGCCTTTCTAAATAGCAGGTTTGCAAATTCTTTGTTGGAAAAGGAAAAAATTGGAACATAGTAACCATTTGGAAGTCATTTATAGTATAAAACACATGTACAGAAAAATGAATTATGGAAAACGGCTTGTTTTCTTCAAATAATTGTAAATTCCATTAATTTTTAAATCAAGAAATGTCAATGATAAATTATCAAAAATGATAAATACAAAAATGATACATTATCAAAAAAGATAAATTATCAATATTGGTAAATTATCAAAAATGATGAATTATCAAAAATGAATGATAAATATCAAAATTAATAATTATCAAAAATGATAAATTATCAAAAATGATAAATTATCAATATTGGTAAATTATCAAAAATGATGTATTATCAAAATTAATAATTATCAAAATTATCAAAAATTACTTGAGAAGTTATCAAATTTGATATAATATCAAACTTGAGAAATTATCAAAATGGAGAAATTACTTTTACAGTAAAAAAAAAATGAAATGATAAAGCAATTGTTAAAATGTTTATAATTTCCAATCTTAAATAAAATCTTAGATAAACATTCTTGGCTCAAGGCCTATCAAAAAATGTCAGAGAGGGTTCACCATTAATTCACATGTTCAATAAGTGAGAAGTGTCACTTGGCTGAGTGTTACATTATAAAGAGATATATGTTGATTACTAGAACAATAAGTATAATATAAGTGTCTAACCAATATTTATTTTATAGTTGATAGGGAGTCTAATAAATGACATTGTGGTAATTTTTGTATTCAAATCCAAAGCTAATATCTTACTTTTTTTTAAATTTTTGATAAAATTATTAGCTTCAAAATTTGTAGTGCTTACATATTGATAGAAAAAAACGTTTCAAAACTTCTACCCTACACTTTAAATTGAAATAATAGCTGAATTTTGGCATTTTTGTAACATAAAGTCAATATATTCTGCAACTGGTATACATATTCACATGAAAATAGAAGATGGTTAACCAAAAAAAGTAATTAGACTATCATTTGGTCTATTTTTGCTTCACCTCTCATATCATTATATGAAAAATAATAGAAAGATTTTGAAACAATTGAATGCTTAAAAGCCAAAATGAATATTGAAATTTTCTGAACCAAATTTTGGTGAAAAGATTAAATAGTCCAATTTCCAATAAAATCTTTAATTCGAACTAAAATTGAACGTAATTGACAAAAGTTGCACTTGAATCAAATTTTTTGAAAAATGAACACAGAAATGTATTGATTAAACCTTGAGTAAAGAATAAATAAGCTCTTTCAGAAATGAACACCCCATACACCATTAAAGTATTTTGAAAGTAGTTCAGTTGATAGAATAAATTAACACCAAGAGACAATTCATGTGGTGAAGTATTTTCATTGTTTAAGCAGAATTGTGAAAAAGATTATATAACAATAAAGGCCTGCTTAAAGAAAAAAGGGGCGTTAACAACAATATGAACACAATGAATGTTGAACACAAAATAGACAATGTCTTTTATATCTTAGGTTTAAAACTGTTTTTTACATTCATTCATTCTTTAATAAATATTATCACACTGTACACTGGCATTCTTTCTTTCTATCCTGAAATGAGATGAATAAAATGAATGAAAAGTCTACATTGCAGTTTATTATTTTTTGACTTGAATGTGTTGGTACACTGAACACAGTAAAAACAATCACTGAGTGAGAGAAAGATGGGGATGAATGAAATATCAGGATGAATGAACTATTAGGGTAAATGAAATATCAGGATGACCTATACATCAAATTAAATGAAATATTACAATGAATAAAAGATCAGAATGAATTACATATCAAAATATCAGGATGAATGAAATATCAGGGATGAATGAAATATCAGAATGAATGAAATATCAGAATGAATGGAATATCAGGATGAATGAAATATCAGGATGAATGAAATATCAGGATGAATGAAATATCAGGGATGAATGAAATATCAGAATGAATGAAATATCAGAATGAATGAAATATCAGGATGACTGAAATATCAGGGATGAAATATCAGGATGAATGAAATATCAGGGATGAATGAAATATTAGGGATGAATGAAATATTAGGGATGAATGAAAGTCTGGTTATTGTGTGTTTGAACTGTATATAAGTGGCTTTAGAGTATAATGTAAATCCCTATGACATAATATTAAGTAAGGTCAATAACATGTAATTTAGGTTGTTAATTCAAGTCTACCCAGAAGTAGCTTATCAATCCAGATCAATTCTAATTTATATATACAACTTCAGTCACACCTAGACTGCTTTAAGGCAGTCATAAATATATCTGCCTTTATATTTAATTCTTCAACTTCGAGCCTAACATAGAGCCCAAGAACAAGGTCCTTCTTCAACATAGAGCCCAAGAACAAAATCTGTTCAACATAGTGCCCAAGAACAAGGTCCTTCTTCAACATAGAGCCCAAGAACAAAAGCTGTTCAACATAGAGCCTAACATAGAGCCCAAGAACAAGGTCCTTCTTCAACATAGAGCCCAAGAACAAAAGCTGTTCAACATAGAGCCTAACATAGAGCCCAAGAACAAGGTCCTTCTTCAACATAGAGCCCAAGAACAAAATCTGTTCAACATAGAGCCCAACATATATCCAAAAACCTTCATTTCATTTAGAAATAACCTACCTGCATTGTGTCATCTAAGCATCTGATGAGAGACTAGAGTAGTTGGTGCTCCAGCTAGGACCACTGAAGATCTATGATGGCTGGTATAGTCTATAAAACCTGTTTGATAGGGTAAACACGGGGAACATGGTATACTGGTATGGTACGGTATCACCTGACTAGCATGTTGGGCTACCTGATTGACTTTATCCATTCTGTGAGTGCTGAAACAATAAAAAAAATTTGAAATAAAATACATTACACACAGCATTACAAGATGTTTCTATATCACCACATGCCAGAACTTTATATTGATAAGTGATTCAGGTAAAAACTTTGTGTCCATATATACGAAGAGCCCTACACATTAATACCAACTTTGATAATTAAATGTTTTCTATGGTATTCAAGATATATTTTGGTGCTAAGGACAAGTCTTCATTACTACCTGGACTATGACCTCCCCCAATTGTTGACCTTGACATTTCACTATGAGTATGGCATTGACAGAAAACCTTGTGATTAGTTTGAAAAATGTCTTGTCATTTGATAATTATATAACAAGGTGTTCAATGATACTGATGGGGGTTAGACTAGAATCTGAGGTTCTATGGCCACTCAATCATACTTTAGTTTCAGAAACAGGAATTTTTTTAGCTTACATAATCAGTAAGTGTTCACAGCTCATCCTTAAAATTTGAGCCCTCAAAGCCATGTGTATTCATAATTATTCACGTTTGAAAGTTAAAAATCTGACTCAAGACTATGCCATATATAAAAAACACATATAAGCTTATAGGAATAGTTTGTGGTAATTTTGAAGGGATTATGCTATTTTCGTGCATTTGAGTACTTGAGGACTATTATGAGCACAGTAAGATTCAAATCAATCCCTGAAAATGCCAACTGTTCACCTTTAAGAGAGAATTTTTATAGACCATTATACATTCTTCATAATCTCTTCTGGTATAATAGCCAATAATAGAAGCAATTATTAGATTGTAACCACTAATCCAGAAACTATTATATCTGCCACTAAGACTTGGCTTAAGTTAACTTTTGGCACAAGTAATAAATAATTACCAATATATCTACATACTTAATGATATACTATAGATATATAACTAATAATATACCTTAACATTAACTGTAAACAAGGTAATAATTCTTCTAAATAATAATCTGATAATAACATCATATGTTTCGGCCAGGTTGGAGAGAGAAATAAACAGATTCTTGCAGCTGCTATACAAGAAGCTGCTATTAATGATGGCATATAATCTCGGAATGTATGATCTGCAAGTAATAAAAAGGTGTTACAATTCAATTCAATTCAATACACATGGAAGTCCATTTAAGATATCAACCCCAAACTGTTGGCTGTTTTGCTTATTTAGTTTCATATTTTAGATCCTACTATACATCAATCCTTCATGAGGATTATCCCTAAAACTTCTTTAATACAAAGAAAGAGTAATCTTTGTACCCACACCTTAATCCATGAAATTAATTCATTTCTGATAAATACAAACATCAAAGAGATTAAAGGGACTGTTAAGAGGTTTTCTAAACTTTTTATGTGTATCGAGGACACTCATAGCATCAATTTGCACCATTTCAATTTTCACTTCGACATCTGTGGTCTTGCAAACTACGAAAAATAACGTGTTTTATGATGTCACTAGAGGAGAGCTACAGGAAGCTACTATTGATATCTTTGTAGGTCCCCTCTAGTGACGTCATAAAACATGTTAGTTTTAGTGGAATTGCAAGAACCACAGACAAGCTGTAAATTGATACTACCAGTGTAACCGATACATATAAAAAGTTTAAAAAACCTCTTACAATCCCTTTAAGTAAAACTGGACCCACTTTTCAAATGAAATCTCTTTTTTTCTGTTCAGTTTGGGCTAATGGCTGATGAAAACAGGCATAGATACTAATCAAACCCAATTGGTTTTTGAAATTTCGTTTAGTTATATTCTAGACAATAGCAAGCAGCAGGTTCAAAAATCCAAAATACTCAGAAAAAGGCTAGAATACTTATCCAGAATGCTAATCCAATAATCCACAAGAGATTAACTAACACATATATAGCTTACCTTGTAAAGAAATTTCCAGAAAATATTTGGCATGATTTTCAATATACTGAGTCATTATTTGTTTATTAATAATAGGCACACCGTTATGTAAATCACCTTCGTCGGCAGCAATTGTCAAAAAATATGGCATAAAATGGGCAGGCGTGGGCACAGCCAGTTGCCATTTATGAAATTTAAGCACTGTTAGTTCCATACTAAGAAATTCATCTGAGGTATATCCATGTAAGGCAGTTGTACAAGTTTTTGGAATGAAGGCATTTAATGTAGCTTGTCTTGGCACTTTATCACAGCTTTCTTCAAATTTGACTGAAAGAAAAATTCATTCACATTTAGCAAGTATTCTTGAATCCACAGTATATCTTGCGCTTGAATTAACGGGACAGATGTGCCATTTTGAGGAGGTTGATCTAGGTTTTGAATATATGTAAATAGTCTTCAGAAATATCAGTACCAAAATGTCCTACGAATATACTTCAAACTAGGAATTTATTTTCCTATTTCTATAATAGTCAAGAAAAGACGAGTCGTCTTTTCTAACATTCAAACATGGATAATTCTAGACACACATGGATTTGAAGGCCCAAATTTCGACAGTGAGCTGTGAACATTCCTAATGATTGGCTTAGCTAAAAATTCCCGTTTCTGAGACTAAAGTATGATTGGTAAAAAAATAGCGCACCCATCCCTTTAAAACATATTTCACAAGCTCAAAATAACAAAGTGCTATCAATCAATTGAAAGATAAAAATTTTTTCAAATTAATTTTATTTCAAACTGGTGATGATAATGAATAATTTTAACGTTCCATTCGACACAAGGTAGTAATTGTATTCACCCCCTAGTCAGATTAAATGTAACATCTGGAATACATGTGATTACAATATTATTTATTATAAAGATAAAGAACAGCTTGCTTCACTCAGTTTTAAATACTGCATCTTTACCTTTGTTAAAATGTAAATTATTATTTACTGCTTTATTATGTTATTATCTTAATTTATCTATTTTCGATGAGGCTTTTGTTCTATTTGCATTCATTTGTGTATAACCTATGTTTCTTGAAATTTATGAATTTTCATTCAATTGCATTGCAGGACACAGAAAACTTGATAATTTATTTAGTTGGTACATTAAATTTAAAACTACTATTATGAAGCTATGTAAGTTGATATTTGATCATAAGGTATAATTTTTGCTTTGGAATGTTTTTCAAATTTTTCTAAGGAAAATATGTTTATTTAATAAGGGGATTTTTCGCAACTTTAATTTTTGTCACTGAAAGCCAATTATCACAATATTACAAAGTTCTGAAGCTCATATTGAAATTCATATTCTCCAATAAAAATTAAAATCGCAGTTTGATTCATACAGAATATTTAATGCTTTTGCTAGAGTCCAAAGGGGTCTAAATTTTGATGGTATATTTGTGTTTACTTGGAATAATAATTAAAAAATATTGTTAATGTTACTTACTTGCTAATCTTAAACAGGTCATAGCAAGCAGATACAGATGACAATGTTCAACGTCCATTTTGTCAAGAAAATAATCCAAAAGGTACACAGCTAAATGATGAGCCATGGACTCGATGTGTAATTGTTCTACTATCACAGATAACCAATCCACAAGATGTCGTCTGCTCCATAATTTTAAAGATTGGCAATGAAATTGAGGTATTTCGTGTTCTCGTTGTTTTAAAGTTGTGTAGATATCCGCTGCAATCACATTCTTCCACCATTCTTGCTCAAGCATGATGCCACACGTCCAAAAAGTTGAGACACGACTTGATTTTTAAATATATTGATATCACTAATCCTAAACATTTGGCTCTGGTAATCTATTAGCTGGTAATCTAAAATGATAAAGAAATTGTTTTATAAATTAATGAATGAAACCTTTCTCCAGATGAATAAATGGTCTAGCCTATATCCATCACAATGAATGAATAAATGATCCTGCCTCTATCTAAATGAATGAATAAATGAATGAATGAAATATTTTTAAAATATCAACCCCTACACAAAACAGGACTGAATAATGAATATTTCTGGTCTATAATATTAGCAATTAATGATGAATTGATATATATGTCCATATAGATAGGAAAGAAGAATATATAATGAACAGTACTTGTCTATATGCATGGAAATAATGAAGGACTATATAATATAACACATAGTTATTGCTTATGCATGATAATGAATAAAATCAATGAATTCTTCATCACAATGAACACAATCCTCAAAAATAATAATCTACATTTAATGCAAATCCTATTCTTGCACCAAGAGCAAAGTGGCAAAGTCTAGAGCAAAGTTGGAATAAAAAAGAAAAAATATCAAGTACATAAAAGTAAATGTTAAGAAAATGTCAAGTAATGTTGAAATGTCAATAGAATGAAAAACAATTGACCAGTAAATATTGGCATTTCAATAATTCAATATTTTCTTTCTGTGTTGTATTTAACATCAATTGGCTTTTACCAGCCATTTCCTTTGACAGTTTACAAAGCATGTCAAACCATAAACACTAAAACCTCCTTCAGAACGAACTCTACACAGTTTTTATTTTATCACTTTAACTTCAACATGTTACTCCAAACCCAAACTGTTAAGTAGCTTATAACATTTCTTATTTGGTGTGCTGGATTAAGGCTTTTTAATTCATTGTATGGAATGAATGAATGAATGATTACAGAAAGAAAGAATGAATAAACTAATGAATGAATTCATGAAGGAATGAACAAAGGAATTCATGATGGAATGAATGAATTCTTAAATGAAGGAATGATACAGAAAAGAAAGAAACTTCAACATGTTTCTCAAAAGCCAATCTGTTAGCGAACTAATAATTAATGGATTAAGGCTTTTATTGTATGGAATGAATGAATGAATGAATGATTCAGAAAAGAAAGAATAAATGAATTCAATAGATTATTTAAATTTGGAGCGCATAAATGAAGGAATAAAAGAACAAATGAAACTGCGATGGATTAAATTTTATATGGAATGAATGAATGAATGAATGAATGAATGAATGAATGAATGAATGAATGAATGATAATAAAGGAAAGGATGAAAGAATGATCAAGGGTTGGATAAATGAATGAAGTATGAGTAAATAAATGAACAAAAGAAACTAAGAAAGAATGAATGAATGATTCAATGGACATAAAAAAAAAAGAAAGAATGAATGAGTGAATGAATGAAGGTGGGTAGCTCCAATTTCAATTATGCTACTGAATGGCTACCAAAAAGCCTGAACACTATTATGAACTGGATATTTACTAATAAAAAATTGTAGCTTTGCATAAAAAAAATCATGAATAGTTGGTAGCAAATAAATTCATATTGCAACATCTTTTCATGAAATAACATTTCAATGACAATTCTCTATTACTTGATAAATAAACTTATGTGTAAGAAATAGTTATCCATCAATAGGTATCCATCTTTAAGAGAAAAACAATTCAAACATACTTTATCAAACATTGAAATCCAAGAGAATTACTGCTATAACCTCCTTTTATAAATCACACTGCAACAGAATACACACTACTAGATGTTACCTAGTTCAAGTCCACTTTCAAACTGTTATCTCCAGCCAAGCAGTCAGTCAAGCCAGTAAAGCTTCCTGTATTAAAACTGCCTACTTTACAGTGTAATCTGAAGAAAAGATGATTGATCTCAAACTGAGTGAACCTGATAAATGCCCTTGAGACCAAATGTCACTAATGATAATGAAAGATCAGACTATTTATAATCACTGATTGGATAAAAAAAAAATTGTAAAATAAATTACAGCACCCTTTGTTATCTAAAAAAATAAACTTTGTGGACTAAAACACTAGACTTTTGACATGAAAAATATTTTTGACATTCTTATTGAACCTAATTTATATAAAATGAATTTTACTTTTGAACTCAATAAATTGATTTTATAAATTTATGATTTATGTTAATAATTTTTTTATTATTTAACAATTTTAAAGTTATAACTGCTCAAATCAAATTTGTAATGATTCAAATAGAGTTTATGACTATTCAAATAGACTATTCAAATAAAGTATAGGACTATTCAAATAAAGCTTATGACTATTCAAAAAGAGTTTAAGACTATTCAAACAGAATTTATGACTATTCAAACAGAATTTACGACTATTCAAATAGAGTTTATGACTATTCAATATTCAAACAGTTGACAATTCAAATATGCCATTAAATTCTTATTCCAATAGTTGTTTTATATGACTATTCAATATTCCAATAGTTGACTGTTCTATGACTATCCATTGATATGTAATATTTAAATATTCAATATTCAAATAGCTTTTTCTAGGACTATTCAAATAGATGTTATGTGAAGATCCAATGACCTATGACTATTCAATATTAAAATAGTTGACTATTCAAATAGTTCTTATATAACTAGCACTCAAACATTCATCAATGCATACAATAGTAATAGCTATGTATAGCAGTACACAATGATTCAAAAAATAATACTGACTTTATATGAATGTTGAAACTAACTTATATATCTAACTTTTCACATAATAATCCTATCATTTAATATTCAGATAAAAGCATTGACCTACTTCAAATCCTATTTTAACAAAATCACCATGTTCATAGTGACAAAATAATAGTTCAGAAATATTCGAAAACAAAATTTTATTTATCATAAACATCCAAACAATTCAAAATATTGAAGTTCTCCTTCTAATAACAGCTTTGTTATCATTGTAACAATGCCTTTATTTAAACAATCATAATGACAGTGCCAGATAACTTCAGACTGTTCAATTACTTAAATAATCAAATTTTATTTCTGCCTTTGGCCAAGAAGTCGCAATTACTGAGAGAATTTTATACATAATTTTTGATATGCAGTTATACAAGACAGTTTGGGGCGTTTAAAATTGCTCAAGCGAACAATAATAATGCAAATTTATTTAATAAGGTTTTCACTACAGAAACTACTCCAGATAGTTATGACTTTGCAATTACTCAAAACAGTTAAGACTATGCAATTACTCAAGACAGTTATAACTATTCAATTACTCAAGACAGTTATGACGATGCAATTACTAAAGACAGTTAAGACTATTCCATTAGTCAAGACAGATACGACTATGCAATTACTAAAGTCAAAAGATTGAAATCTACAATCTAGAAGATAGTACTGCTATGCAATTACTCAAATGGATAGGTATGCCATTTTTTTTCCTCATCCTTTAGTGTTGGAAATGGAAATTTTTTAGTCAATCAGTAATAGTGTTCACAGCTCACCATCGAAATTTGAGCCTTCAAATCAATGTGTGTTCAGAATTATTCACGTTTGAAAGTTAAAAAGAAGAGTTGTCGTTTTTGAGAGAAATCTATAGAAAAAGAAAAAAATTCTAGTTAAAGATATTTTGAAGGAATTGTGTGATTTTTTGTATATTTCTAGTACTTTTGAATGGAAGCTTCTTACATTCAATTAACCCAAAAAAAGGCGCATCTGTCTCTTTAAATAAATATTGTTATACAATAACAGTTATAATCATGCAATTACTGGAAGACAGTTATGATTATGCAATTATCAAAGACAATTATGAGTATTCAATTATCAAGAGGAAGTTATGAATATTCAATTATCAAAAGACAGTTATATGCAATAACTCAAGACAGTTTTGACTATTGCTCACTTCAGTTTGCAACTACGTAATTCTCAAGGCAGTTATAACTATGCAATTCTCAAGACAGTTTTGACTATGCAATAACTCTTATGTCAAGACAGTTTTGACTATGCAATAACTCTTGTGTCAAGACAGTTTTGACTATGTACCGTATGCAATTGCTCACTTCAGTTTTCGACTAATGCAATTCTCAAGGCAGTTATAACTATGTAATTCAACCTAATTTGCCTTTATAGTCAATAAAGTCTTGAATATGCAATACGACCATGCAGTTATTTTATAGTTTTGATCATTCAATTACTGAAGAAGTTTTTTAACTGATCAAACAAGAACTTCCAAAAATGGACTGTAGACATACATGTGCAAATTCAGACTTAGGCCTAAATATTACAGATTAACATTAGCTATTATATATTTTGGATTTGAAAAATACATATGAAAAACCAAACACAAGAGATTTACCATGAGTAAATATTTCAAACAGTGGATATTTATGTTTGAATAATACTTCAATAACACTTACCTGAAATATTCTTAAATTCATAAAGAAATACAATAATATATCCAATAAGGCAAATAATCCAGTTTGAGAGAAAAGAAATAACTGAGTACAATTTCAACTGTTCTAGATCTTGTACAGTAACAGACTAGACTAGTGTTTGACCACAGACTGAACACACAACTGACCACACAAACTAGACAGTACATCAATAGTAATCAAGGTAAAGTAATATCACAGATGGGTCAACCCATTAAAAGCCAATCTATTTCTGATAATACTAGGAGTCCCAGCTGAAAAATCAGCCAACTGGAACTTCAGGCCAAGTTAAACCCTGAGTGAAAAAAAATCCCCTTTGACAAGCTACATTGTTTAGATAATAATATAAACAAAAGATCTGTTAAATTTCCAACTCATAAATTAAACATTACAGTTTGAATTACAAAAAAAACACCAGTTGACATTTTTAATAGAATTTACAACTGAAATGCTGCCGTAAGCTTTTAAAAACCAATAATAATTGAACATTTCATTGCCATTTTTATGCCTTTTTTCAGATGTTTTATTATTTAA